CCCTGGGCAGTTTGGTTATTGAGAAGAAGTTGTTTAAAGTTTTTAACATATTTGACCCCTGTGACCTTGAAAATAGATGAAGGTCATTTATTTGAACAAACTTGGTAGCCCTTCATCCCAGTTTGCTTCTGGCCAAATATCATCACCCTAGGCCTTTCGGTTATTAAGAAGAAGTCGTTTAAAGTAAAATATTGACGCCGGACGCCGGACGCCGGACGCCGGACGGACGGACGGACGGACGGACGACGGACGCCGCACCACGGCATAAGCTCACTTGGCACTTCGTGCCAGGTGAGCTAATAAACTGAAACTGTCGCCTATGGCTAACTAATACCCCCCACATTCTGGCTGCTTGTTGCCCCTGTAGGGGCTAAATAAATAAGGGGAAACATATAAACAGATCAAGGGTCATGAAAAAGTCTAACCTCAGATGTTGTATCGTCAGACCAATGGAAAAGACAAACACCACTAATGTGATCTTTGACTCACTGTCTTCGGAATTTTGTCACAATGTAGCTTGCATCAATACTACATTTACTCCAAGGTATGTGTTTACAAAATACCTACCATTTCGGCCATAATTAGCCATTTCAGTAACATAATGTATCTGTGACTTTTGACCTCATGACCTTGGAAGTTTGTCAAAATATAGCCTGCATAATTGGCTATGATACTCTTATGAATATGTGTATACAAAATACATACTGTTTCTGAGATAATTAGCCATTTCGGTAACGTAATTCATTCGCGAACTTTGACCTTTCAAAAAGCGGAAAGTTGAAAAAGTCGACAAAAAAAACCCATAATATATGTTAAACATCATTGCTTCTAGTATAACTATATTAAATTTGGAAAGAATTGAATAAAAAATAAAAATGTTATTACATTTTCTATAAAATGGCATGGCCATGGTCTAGAGAAGGTTTATGAACCAAGGGCCATAACTTCGTGAAAAGGGAAGATAACCCAATGAAAAGTACTTAACGCACATCTCCAAGCTGCAAGAGTTCTTATCTGCAAACTTCATTGAAATCCATCCAGTAGTTTAGGAGGTGTACACTAGCTGAGTACTACATAGCGTACGGGACGGGACGCGATGGGACTCACGTCACAACGGACATGGGCAACACTATATATATATATATGTCCCCCTCCAAATTTATGGCGGGGACATAATAAAAAAAATATACTTTTCAACCTAATTATTTTGGTGTAAACACTATATATCTGTATTCTACTTGCTGTCTTATTTTCTGTTAGCCATTTGATATCATAAATATACACTAAGCTTGTTGTGTACACTAACAAACTTAGTGTATTTATACACATGTCAGTTAAGGAGGACACCTGTAAAATATACACTAAGCTTGTTGTGAACACTAACAAACTTAGTGTATGTATACATGTGTCAGTGAAGAAGGACACCTGTAAAATATACACTAAGTTTGTTGTGTACACTAACAAACTTCGTGTATTTATACACATGTCAGTGAAGAAGGACACCTGTAAAATATACACTAAGCTTGTTGTGTACACGTGTCAGTGAAGAAGGACACCTATAAAATATACACTAAGTTTGT